CAACAGTTGCACATCTACATCCTCATCCCAACTTACAACTTTGTTTTGATTCTGCATATGTAACAACATCCTCCTTAATATCACACTTCTTTTGAATTTCTGGCCTCCCATGGAGATTCATAAAAGCATCCACATACGCTACTTCATCCCACTTATCCATGCTACAGGAACACAACATCAATTGGAATATAGTGCAATGATTCAGGGATCCATTTTGTGGCCACATTTCCCCATATTCATGCTTATTATTTAGCCACCAATGATTACAATACAGTTCCATTTTCTCTTTTGTCATTAGAATGTTCCCAAATATTTTCCAATTTTTAAGGATGCATCCGAGAGGAGAGTCAGGAGGTATCTCACTGGAAGTTTACATGCCCATACTGTAACCGTAAAAGGATTACCACTGTTTCAAACACTCAGCTCTGGCAGAGACAAATACCTCCCTTGCCTTGCCACGCATCTATGTGTGAAACTTCCCCAGATAACCAACTAAGTTTTAAGCTACTGCTGCGAACTTTTGCAACTTAAGTGGAGATGGCACCAATAAACCAACTACTTACAGTGCATGTTCTACCTTCCCCCCCTCCCGCAAATATCTCTTTTATAACGTTGCACCTTTGAGTCAGTTACCACCTGATGCTGGAGAGGATCTGCTGGAGTTCCTCGATCAACAAATTGGTGTTCACTGGAGCCCCAAGTGGTCCAGTCCACCATGGAGAGGCAAGACAACCTGGGCAGGGCTCTAAGGCAGCCTCTAGCTAATAGCTCATGCTAGTATACTAATAGCTCATTTATATATTAATGGTATGTCTATATGATGGATCCAATTAGTCAGTATTTTCTACCCACTGATCAAGGTTATAACCAAGATAAGTTGTGGGGAGAACTCCCTTTCATCCCTTTCATCCATCTTGCAGGACTGTTTCTCAAGGATGGGTTGTTGACTACTAGGGATGTGTTTTTCTTTAATTCTTGCTGTCTCAGTGTTATGTAACTATGTGTTTATTGTACATGTCTCTTTGTTCTTTTTTGTGTGATTTTTCCCAGAAATTTTACTTATTTCAATTAATAACAAACATCTCATTCCTCTGATCATTTTCGTGGCACTCCTCTGGATCTGCTCCAACAAGTATATGTATTTCTTGTGCTGGGATCTTCATGTACCTTGTTATCATCTCATCTTGTAAGTAGGCTATATTCCCATTATTCATAATATTATTATATTAAACTGGGTACTACCTTAACCTGTCAACACACGAAACTGAGCAGTACTCAGTTTGCTTAGTTGGCTTTTGTTTAGAGCTACATACATGAACAAACAAGTTCTTGAAATCAGTCAGGAACTGTCAAGCTCATTTTCACCTGACAGCAAAAAAGGGTAGTGTCCTCTCCAACTCCTAGTTCAGTGTTATTGTAAATATTTGTACATTTGGTACATGACATTTCATGCATGGAGATTGTGTATGGATAGCCAAGAAATTTTGGACATAAGTGAATTTGAGAGAAAAGACATCTGACTGTAGAGCTTGAGTCTTATAAAAAAGAAAAGGTGCCTAAGGTTACCAGTTACTGAACAAGGCAAACATTCCCAGTAGCGTGCATAGCTGCTGCTTTGTGGTTTTTGCAGCTTCTGTAATAGATCTTCCTTCTGTGTACCTGTAGAGTTCCTTTTGTTTTGGAAGGCTAAATGTGTTGCACTGTATAATAAGATTCAGAGTCTCTGAGCAGAGGACAGAAATCAAGTTTTGTGCTGAATGACCCTGCTGAATATGTTGGTGTTTTTTCTATAGTGTTTTAACTACTGATATAGTTAAATCTTACGTTGTCATCAACCAACTATTTTTTACTTTTAACAGTTAAAAAATTGAAAATAGGATCTTTACTGTAGCTATTTGCATGTAGGGCCTCATTTTTGAAAACTTAAAATTCCATTCTTTTTTAAAACTGGAGATGCATCTTTCCATGGATTCAGTACAAGCTTGAGTGTTGGAAACAAAATGTACGTAGCCTTTTATTTTAATTCTGCCATTTCTGTCACTTGATATATGTCCTCTTTATTTCTCCATCTGAAAATCAAACTATTAAAATATTTATGAAAACTTTTAATGTTAATTGCCCTTTCTGTGTGTAACTTGTGTGACACTACTGCTATTATGAAAATTTTCAAAATACATACACCAAAGCTGTGCTTGGAGCATGCACATGCTGTAAAAGTTCAATAATGTGTTTGCATCTGTAGAGAAACCTCAATTAAGTATTTATCTGTAGGTGTGAATTCAAACATCCATAGATGAAATTCTGAACATGTTTCTACAGATACATGAAGGTTTTCTTAATCGATAACATACATGTGTCCAACACTTTCTGAGTGGGTTCTTTTAGATATTTGTCCTGGTTTGAGCCTACCTGGGGGGGAGGGAGAGGGGACTGAGACCATTGTTTAATTGCTGGACCTGAGTTAAACCGTGACAACATTCCATACGTAGAGGGTTTAATGTTTAATGACATTAAAGTTATTTAACATTGCATGGGACTTTGAGTTATTAGAATGATATAGCAGTTTACTTAAATCACAGTACAAGTTACATTTAGCAGAGTATAGCAGTTGGAGTATACAGTTGAATCACAATACAGATATTGTTCTCATTACTGGTCTTCATCAAGATACTGGGAATCGCCAGTCATTGGGAAGGAATATGTGGATTGAAACTGGATCTAACCTGTTGCTCTCTTCAAAGTTCTTTCTGTTAGTTGTACAGTTTTTATACTGTAGATGTCATACTGAGTCTTTATACTTGGTTTTGGCTGAGCTATGTATGCACCCACCCATTCTGGCCTTGGTAACTCAGAAAGATGATGATGATGATGATTATATCAAGGACAGTTACACAGCCATTTGATTCCCTCAACTGTTGTAGCCATTTATCAAGAACAAAGACTCTCTCCCATCTCCTTTGTGTTGTTCAGCTTTTTGTAACAGTTGTCATCAGTCACTCCCTACTTCTTCACTTAGCTTTGTGAGTACATAGTCCTTGCCTGTCTCCTTCCATTGTAGGAACTCATTGATCAATCACAACATGAAGTATTTTACTTGACAAAGAGAGCTTTACTGTAAGATACCTTTTTGATATTGTGTTTAAACACACTTTATTTTTCAATAATTCTATCATTTATATTGTAGGTCATGCAGGAGTCTCTGCGAGCATAATGAAGAAAAGAACTTCCCACAAGTAAGTTGTGAATATCTTTCCCAAAGTATAGTCCTCAATAACTGGAAGTACTGTTCTAGAAATGTATCTGTATTATTCCAGTCTTTTTGCTCTTGAAAATCATATGGAGTAGTATTCAGACAGTGTATGTGTGTAGAGTCAGATTTCCATTGTTTTGGGAGGGCAATGGGAAAGAATGCACCATTGGTAGGGTTCTAAATATCATTTTGAGTGTTACTGTGAGAGAAATTATCCTGTCAATACAATTCTGTAATTTATGCTATAATTCAGAGACAAGAGGCTGCAAACCAGAAATTGGGCACATGTACTCTAGGATTCAGTACAGCTTTAGTTTTTGAAAAGGATTTTTCACCTTTATTTTTTTTAAATCAAGAACATATTGAAGTGCTTCTATAAGGCAGCTATTTGTGTGAAGGATACTTTCTTATCCTACACATTCATGGCATGTATTATTCTCTACTATATTTTGAAATAGTAGCAGCTAAATGCTGCTATAAGTAAATGTGAGAAGATAGAGGTTATAGCTTAGACATGATTTACCTTAGTGTCTAACAGCTAAATGTTGCATCTGGCTGCATCTCTGTTGGGTGAACTCTAAAATAAGCTGGGGAAAGGTGAAATTTAATAAAATGCTGCTAGTTATATTTGAGTATGAAGTTCTATAATGTTGGTATACAACATGCATCAGTCCAAAGCAATTTGTCTGGCAGAAATATCTTCTGTGATTAACATTTAAATTAGTATTGACTGTTTCCCAGATACAACACCTGATGTAAAACTACTCTAATTCCTTCCACCAACTCTTCACTATTCAGTCTTGTCTGTCTCCTTACAAGGCAGATATACATTTATTTGTCTAGAGACAGGTAGAGTTAAAATTTAATTTCTCTTGTTCTTTTTCAACCGCTCAGAGAAAGGAGTGTATGATGGGAAGACTATCAGAGGTGGGTTGCCTTTTGTACTTGAGGGTGGCTAGATTTGTCTTTATTGTTATATACTTATTTAAATACCTAAATAGGTTGCATATTTTTTAGCATAAAGGCTTTTATGGGGCATAATAAGTGATGATCCTAAGTTACATGATTTTGAGGCATTTAACTTAAGCACCCAACTGAGTTTTATGCTAATTTAGTCTAGTTTAATTGTTAAAGAATTGTTTGGTAAAGGTTTTCTTTTGTACCAAACCAAGATGACTTTGTGTGCTGCTCACTGACTTCTCTGAGAATGACAGACTAGTATAGAGTTGTTTTTATTTGATATTTATTACTCACATTTTTTAAATGAACAGTAAGTAGTGCTGTAGACATGTTTATAGTAAACAAGCAGGATATGAATCACTATTTAAAAGTGCATGCTGATTCTACTGTGAGCTGTTACAGCAGACCACGAATTAGTAATGCATAGTTTGTCATTGATTTAGTTATGACTTTTACATTCCTCATTTAAAGAAAAAGAAGAACAAGTCTAGTGGCACTTGAAGGCTGTAGGGGAGATAGTAAACTAGGTTCAGAAGTTCATGGAGGAGGAAAGAGCCAACAGGATGGAACAAGGCATGGTCCAGTAACTGAGGAAGTGACAAAATGAGCTGTGTGGATTAGTTTTCTCAACTCTTCTTAACTAAAATGGTAGCTAACCACTGACCCTTCTGGAAGAAGGTCCCATGGTTATTGGTCAGATGCAAAAGGGCAGTACTTCTGGGTGCTCTGTTAGTGTCAATGGGTAGTGATGATCTCTGTGCCTATGAAACAGTCCTGGTTTCAGCCAGGGTGGAGCAAATTTTATCTTCACTGATTTTTTTTCCTTTCAGTGAACTTTTTTTAGCAGCACCAGTGGACTGATAACAACCAAGGACACTTCTGAAGCTCATGTCTGCAGTTTCCCCCCCATGGGGGAGCAGACTAGAGTGAAGGCAGGATCAGCAAATCAGAATATTCCCTTGTCATAATATTTTTGTTGTTTGGCTTTTGGTATAGGTTAAGACATCATGGAAGTCAAGCCTTTGGTTTCCATTTTCTCTCTCCTTTTCTGCTTACTGTTGCTTCTATCGCCTTCTCTTTGGCTCTCTTTTTTTTTTTTTCCATTTTTCTTCACAACCGACATCCAAGGACCCCATCTGTGCACCTGCACACTCCCCCCTTCAGCCGTGAGTCTGTGAGAGCCGTTGGAGGAGGAGGGAGTGGATCAGGTGTTATACATCCCTTTATAAATATATATATTATCCTATCACTAATAATTAAAATCAATTTGCTTCACTTTTCAACCCAGAAAGCCTCTCTTTTTTTTTTTTTCTCCCTCTTTCCTTACCTTGGGGGAGAAGGGGGGATGAAGAGCATTATTGTTATTGGTTTGACTGCCAACTTGGAGCCAAACTGTGACAGAAGCTGACCCTATTTATGTCACATCAGTCAGTAGTCACTTGGCTCTCATCCTTTCCACCCTTGGTGTATAAGAAAAAAGTGCACAAAACAATGTAAATATAAACTCTTCCTTATGCTTTCTAGGTTTCTCATACTTGGCATTTCAAGGACTTTGAGCTGGAGGTTGTATCTGCAGTTTAACTACCACTGCAGTTATCCCTTGTGAATTTCTGATCACACTTTAACTTTTGGTGGACTATACTTGACTATGTGCCAAACTCCCACCCACCTGCTCACTCCCCCTCCTCAGTGGGACAGGGGGAGAAAATAGGATGAAAAAGCTCATGGGTCAAGATAAAGACAGGGAGATAGCTTACTAGTTACTGTCAGGCAAAACAGGCTTGACTTGGGGAAAATAAATTTATTGCTGTCATGGTTTGACTCAGGATCAGCAATTGAACCAGCGACAATGCCCTTGATCCCCTCCTCCTCCCACCCAGGTAGGGAAGGAGAGAGAGAATGAGGGAGAGAGACTTTCTGGACTGAAAACTAAACTAGACAACTTTAATTAAACACTAATGACAAAAGAAAAGATGCACAATTGTATATAAGTATGTTCAGGAATGTGCAAACCCCTATTGCCTCCCCACACCCCCAGCAACTCCCACAGCACTCTCCTTAGCTGTGAGCAGTCCCAAAATGTCCCGGAGCACTTCCGGAGAGCACAGCAGAGCTGACAGGAGCTGAGGGGAGAGTTTTGAGGGTCAGGAACACATGAGCCTAGGAATCAACGGTGATGGATAGATGGAGTCCTGGATGCCAGCCATGGATGGAAGAAAAGGGAAGAAGAAGCAGGAAGGAAGTTGTCTTCTGTGAAGTGACCTTGGCATCTCAGCAGTAACATAAACATTCCAGTGTTATCAGTCCACTAGCTGGAACACTTGCTGCTAGTTAAAAGAGAGCTTACTGAAGGAAAAAAAAAATCAGTAAAAGGAAAATTGGCTTCATCCTGGCTCAAACTAGGACAATTGCCAATCAAAATAAATTCACGTGGTAAGAAACAGGAAGAAAAACATTAAAACAACACCTTTCCTCCCCCCTTTGCTGTGTTCAACTTTACTCCTTCACTCCATATTCCTCTACCACTCACCATCCCCACGGTGGTACAGGGGAAACTGGGGACGGGAGTTGACAGTCCACAATGGTTGCTCTCTGCTGCTCCTACCCTCTTCTACTTACTTCTCCCTTGCTCTGGCATGGGTCCTCTACAGGCCACACTTCCTGTCAAGAAAATCTACTCCAGCATGGGCTTTTCCAGAGGAGACAGTCCTGTCACAAAAACTCTGCTCTGGCATGAGTTCTGTATGAGTTCTCCATGGGCCACAAGTCCTTCAGCATGGGTCCTACACAGCCTTCAGTGTGGATATCTGCTCTAACACCATGGAATACCTCCTTTTCTGAACTTTGTGTTCCCTCTGCTGTTTCTCACATTTTTTGTTGTTGTTGTTTTTTTCTCTTGTTTTCCCCTCCTTCTCTGCCTGTGCAGTTCTTTTTGTCTTTTCTAAAACGTTTTCATAAGGGTGCCACCAACTTCACTGAATAGTTTCAATATGGCCTGCAGTGGGGACATTGCCAAGCCAGCTGGAACCACATGTGTCTGGCACAGAGCAGCCCCTGACTTCTTCTCATTGAGGCCACCCCTGCAGGTGTCATCATGTGTATGTGTGCCTGCTACCAAAACCTTACCACGTATACCCAATACACTTGCAATCCTAAGAAAACTAATTTCAAAACTGAACAATGGCTTTTAAAGGAGTATAACAGAATCACAGAATGGTAGGGGTTGGAAAAGACCTCTAGAGATCATGATGGTCCAAACCCCCTGCGAGAGCAGGATCTCCTAGAAAAGATTACACAGGAACACATCCAGGTGTGTTTTGAAAGCCTCCAGGGTTGGAGACTCCACAACCTCCCTGAGCAGCCTGTTTCAGTGCTCTGTTGCCCTCAGAATAAAGAAGTTTTTTTCTCATATTCAGGTTAAATCTCCTGTGTACCAGTTTGTGACCATTGCCCCTTGTTCTCTCATTGGACACCACTGAGAAGAGTCTGACCCCATCCTCCTGACACCTGCCCTTTAGATATTTATAAACATTGATGATAACCCTCCTCAGCCTCCTTTTCTCTAAGCTAAATAGATCCAGCTCTCTCAGTCTTTCCTCATAGGTCAGATGCTCCAGTCCCCTAATCATCTTAGTGGCCCTGTGCTGGACTCTTTCCAGTAGTTCCTTGTCCTTCTTGAGCTGGGGAGCCCAGAACTGCACACAATACTCCAGGTGAGGCCTTACCAGGGCAGAGTAGAGGAGGAGGATAACCTCCTGTCACCATTTGACTCAGGTCTGACAACAATGCTCTCGATCCCCTCCCCCTCCCACCCAGGTAGGGAAGGAGAGAGAGATTAAGGAGAGAGACCTGGCTGGATTGAAAACTAAACTACACAGCTTTAATTAAACACTAATGAATGATATAAGAAAAAATATATATACAATTATATACAAATATGTTCAGGTATGAGCAAAAGCCTCTTACCTCCCCCCACCCCCAGCAACTCCCACAGCACTCCCCTGAGATTAAGACAGTCCCGAG